GCTACCTTAATTCCATGGATCCTTCCTTCGTTTTCACAGCTCGTGAGCATGGCACTAAGGCCCTCTGCAATAAGAAGAAACAGATATGGGGAAAGAGGGTCCCCTTGCCTAAAACCCTGTTGTGGAGTGATGGGGCCGATTTCCTCTCCTTGGTTTAGGACGAAAAAACTTGTTGTAGTCACACATATCATCACTAGGTTCACCCAGCGTCCGTCAAAGCCCAGTTTAAGCATAATATCCTTTAAAAGTGGCCACTCCACCCTGTCGTAGGCCTTGCTAATGTCTTCAGAGCAGCAAATCCTTCTCGACCTTGAGATTTCCTTTTCAGATAGTGTTGCATTTCGAATGCCACCATAATGTTATCAGTGATCAATCTTCTCGGTACGAAGGCGCTCTGCTTGTCTGAGATAATCCCGTCAAGGATTGGTTTAAGCCGGTTGGCAAGAGCCTTGGTGAGGATCTTATAAGCCACTGTGCAGAGAGCTATTGGTCTGAGGTCCAGCAAAGATTCTGGTTTGGGCTTTTTTGGAATGAGCACAATATGTGTTGTGTTTAACCCCCCCGGCAGTTCACCTGTTCTGAGAAAATTGTTACAGAGAGTAAATAGGCTATTTTCAAGAATGTCCCAATATGTTTGGAAGAATCCTGGGTTTAAGCCATCATATCCCGGGCTCTTATCGGGATGCATGCTAAAAGCGGCGTCTTTCACCTCTTGCTTAGTGAAGGCACAAAGAAGAGCTCTATTCTGTAATTCAGAGACTCTTGAATTAATACACTGAAGAACAGGCTGCTGGTCCCCCACTATAGATTTGAACAGATTAGTAAAGTAATCCCGAATTAGATTGTTCATATCAGGTCCTCGTTCGAACCACCTCCCAGAGGTGTCACACAATCTCAAGATATCATTATCTCTCCTTCTCTTTCTGACCGTGTTGTGAAAAAACTTGGTGTTGCTATCTACGCCTTTATGCCAAAATGTCTTTGCCCTCTGTTTCCAGAATATACTGTGTTGTTCAATAAGTCTGATACAGTTTCTTTGAGCATTAGAGAACTCCTGTACGCCTTGGATATCAGACCTCCCTCTAGACCATTCCATCCATCTTTTCCAGTAATCAATTTTAGGTTGAAGGTTTTTGTTGAGATTCTTGCCCCATTTCCATAGAGCATCCGCACAAATCAAACCTAGAAGTTAGGTTCATTCCCTCAGAAAGAATCCAACTGAGACTTATGATATCTCTGCATTGGGGCTCAGAAATCCAGCTATTCTCAAATCGAAATCTCCTTCTTCTGCTAACACGAACCGCAGGTATCGGCTAGAGCACTAGAGGAAGATGGTCACTGCATGGTGCTTCGAAGGAAGAAGCACTGGTGAGGGTAGGGAGAAAACACAGAGATGCAAAGGAATGTTGGAGGAGAATATTGTTTGGTAGGAAAACAGTGTGTAACTCGGTGGCAAAGAGAAAGCAGTGATGCCAAGGGATGTTGGAGGGGAATAGTGTTTGGTAGGAAAGTAGTGTGTAACTGGTTGACACACTTAATAACCACAACCTGCAAATAATAGCTCACCAACCTTTCTGTTGCCATTAATGTAGTTTATTAGCACCAACCTTACTATTGCCATAAATGCAGGTCATCAATACTGGTCATAAATGAGATGGGGAAGAAACGAAACCCATCAACAGGATGGGAAGAAGCAAACAAGAAGAGAGTAAAGGAAACTTGTTAACTAGAACAAGAGGGAAAACTGGGTAGAGAAAAGTAGATTATGTGACTTAAATTTATCTTTCTTGTTTCCTCCATGCTTTTTGCCAAACCTTTGTCCTTAACAAGTTAATAACAGATAACATTCTTGTTGCGAATGAGGTCGGGCATACAAGTTAATACATTTTTTGAGATGCTCTGAAATTGGACTAGATGGAATGGAGTTTCTGAGCACAAGGTTCTTAGCTACAAATTCTTTAGTTTAATCTTATCTTATAAATAAGATAAGACCCAGTCGTTTGTTTTTTCAAATTCTATCAAGATTTCCTCCCTACGATTACTTTTTCGTTGAGAAAATAACTTACGAGAAGGGCCGATGAAGAATTAGCATACTGATTACTTTTTCGTTGAGATAACTTACGAGAAGGGCCGATGAAGAATTAGCATACTGACTCGATTTCATCCTTTCAGTTCGCAGACCAAGGGAACTTTTTAAAGTGAGTCTTAGTATCCCCATAATCTAAAAAGGGGCCAGTTCAGAATTGAGAACTAACTCAATTTTTTTTTGACTCAATTTCAGAAAAAGAAAAAAAAAAAGAGTAAATAAAAAGCGAGGTGAAGTGATACAAAAATAACTCTTGTTCGGTTTTTTAGTCGATCTATAGAAGGAGAGCATATGAAAAACGTAATCGATTCCTTTCTTTCTTTGGGCCACCACACTGTTCTATTTTTATTTTTTTTTTTGAATTGTTTTTCACTTGTCGTTAACGGCGTTTCTCTCTTCGCAATTGCACAGTTTAGAAATTATGAATCTACTGTATTTAAATTATGAATCTATAGTATAGAAATTATGAATCTACAGTATTGGGTTTGTGAACATGTGATAGCGCTATATGTTCATAATTTTATAAATATATGTTCATAATTATAGAGCTATATGTTCATAATTTTCGATGTTCATACTCCCAATTAATTTACTCTGTATTCACAAATCACAGAACTATATGTTCATAATTTGATAACTATACAGTTTAGAAATTATGAATCTACAGTACAGATATTATGAATCTGCAGTATAGAAATTATGAACCTACTGTATAGAAATTATAAATCTACTGTATAGAAATTATGAATCTACTGTATTTAAATTATGAATCTACGGTTTAGAAATTATGAATCTACAATATAGAAATTATGGAGGATAACGGTGCCACTAACGGCACCGTTACTCAACCACATGAAAAGGGCGTCATTTCAAACCGTACCCACCTTACAAGGTGGGCACGGTTCCCTAGCATAACGATTGGGTGGGCTGTGGTGATCAAACAAATATTTGGACTCATCCTTGGCTGCCGGACAAGGAAAATCCGTGGATTGAAACTGAAATTATTCCCCACCTTGTTGATGCATCTGTTTCCACCCTTTTTTGGCTAATGGCGTGAAGTGTTGGGATGATGATCGCATCAGAAACCTTTTCTCCACTCATGATGCAGAGCTTATCCTCAAGCTCCCTATAAGTGATAACAATGTTCTAGATGCGTGGTATTGGAGGTTGGACTTCCGAGGGATTTATACAGTCAAATGTGGCTATCAAAACTCATTGAGACCTCTTAGATTGGAGTTAATAATTCTTATTTTACTGAGTGGAAAGCGCTTTGGCACAACAATGTTCCACCGAAGTTGAAAAATTTTTGTGTAGCGTGTAGCCATGAATATTCTACCTACCTGCATGAATCTTCAGGGTCGTTACGTTGATATCGATACAACTTGCCAGTTTGTCTTCAGTTGAAACAGTGTCTGCTTAATCCTCAAAAGAATCTTTCTTATAACAGTATTATTATTGATGATTGTTAAGGTTTTATTAGCTTTTTCAAGATTGTTAAGGTTTTATTAGCTTCTTCAAGATTGCTTTCATTAGTTAAGTACGTAGATCATCGAATCAGGTTTGCTCATGCTTTAGCTCGAGCATCTGTTTCTTAGTCTCGTCCGGGGAGTAGGTCATCCACTCCTCCTCGTATTTTACAGTTCTTTTTTCTTATTATAAGAGAATGAGATATCCACATATACAAGCTATTACATCAAATGTAACCATAATCGCCTCCGAGGCTTGAACCTATCACCTCTGCTTGAACCTATCACCTCCCACATAGGGCAAATTATGTTGTGGACCCGTGTCCACCATATGCATGGTGGACATGCTGTACATTCATAATTTCTAAACTGTAGATTCATAAAATTTATAATGTAGATTCATAATTTCTATACTGCACATTCATAATTTCTGTACTATAGATTCATAATTTCTGTGCTGTATAGTTATCAAATTATGAATCTATAGTACAGAAATTATGAATGTGCAGTATAGAAATTATGAATCTACATTATAAATTTTATGAATCTACAGTATAAAAATTATGAATCCACAGTATAAAAATTATGAATCTACAGTACAGAAATTATGAATGTGCAATATAGAAATTATGAATCTACAGTACAGAAATTATGAATGTGCAGTATAGAAATTATGAATCTACATTATAAATTTTATGAATCTACAGTATAAAAATTATAAATCTACAGTATAGAAATTATAAATGTACAACGTGTCCACCATGCACATAGTGGACACGGGTCCAAGGCATAACGCTCCCCCACATAGGGAAACAACTTGGTACCATTAGACCATAAGGTCCTTGGTGTATTTTATCAATTTTTTTTTTTTTTTTTATCAATTTTAGTTAGTACGGCCGAATTTCCGGTCAATTGTCACCAATTTTTATCCACATCCCACCTCCCACCTGCCTCTGTATTGATTCAAACAATAGTTCACAAATTATCTTCCATTTTAACACTGAATTAAAAGATTTCGGTGACAATTGGCCAACAATTTAGCCACACTGACTAAAATTGATAAAAATTGAATAATTATGGTACTAAATTGTTAGTTTCGAAAGTTGTAGACTCAAATTAATAACACCCCAATAGTCATAGGACCAAAAGTGATATTAACTCTTTAAAACATCTATATAAAATGGCATAGTGAAAAAAGTTCTATGATAACTAGAACAATTTTAGCCAAATTTATAAACAAACAATGCATTCTGAAAAGAGATGATCAAAGTTGGGGAGTGTGCAATCAACACACAATTATAATAATGATCTTCAATTGAGTGACAAACTAGTGCCCTTAGTATAAGAGGTCACAATTTTAATCCTTAAGGCGGAGAACTGGAGAAGTACCCGAAATAAAAGACACAATTGTATATTTCCGCTTTAATATCAATAGGGAGTCGTAACCCTAAACAAAGGGAAGTAGCCTCCATAGACCAATGAATCTCCACTGTTTTCACAACTCAAAAACTGATCATATATCTTCACTTAATTATATACAAACACAAAATAAAGATAATGACCAAACTGTCATTGTTTTCAGTGATTTGGCAACTTGAGCAGTATAAGTTAGTTAAAGCCTACCAACAGGTCAAAATTACTTTAAATGGCATTGTTATATCTCAAAACCATAGAAGAAAGATCGATGTACCTTCCAGTGGGATTGATATTTGCAAGGTGAGTATACGTATGGAACACAAAAAAGGAAACTCGCAGCAGTGATTGAATATTACTGGCGTCTCGAGCTGACCAATTCAATATCAAATATGAGAGTACCCAATGTTGAGCCCTCTCCGTTGGCAAGACGGGTTGGATTGAAGATTGTTGTAAAGAGCCTCTGCCTATCAAAAAACTGTAAATAAAAAAAAAAAAGGGTAAACTTAATATTGTATCATTTTTTCTTTACCCCTTCTCAGGTAGATCCACATTCATCCAAGTCCACTAGCCATGAACTTTTGCAGAGCAGTTTCTGGCATTTTAAAGGATTTAAAGCTGTTAAACAGAAAGGCTAGGATAAAGAAAAAGTTATCGCACATTGGGTGGTATAGGTTCTTGGGAGGTATTCTGGTATCCTTGAGATGGTGGAATAACAACTCGACGAACACCACCTACTTTCATTGATTTCACAGCACTTTCAATTCCTGCTATAACCTGCAAAATATTAAACAACCGTTAACAGGAAGAAGAAAAAGAAAAAAAAAAAAAAAGGAAATTCAAGAGGCGATGCAAATAATATGTTACATAGGTGCAGATGGGAAACATTTCTGTTTCACATTTTTTGTCCAAAAGTAAAAATGAAATATGTAATTTCTGTTTTGAACACCAGATGGGGTCCTCCGATTATAGTGGAACTGACACGTTTAGTCCTAAACATTCAATTTAACTACCCTTGATCCTTTAACTTTCAAATTTAACAACACATGGTCCTTCAACTTTCAAGTTATCCACTCATGATCCTTTAACTTTTAAATTTTTAACCATCCATGGTCTTAAATTTGGCCTTACTTAAACTAAGGGAAGGACACGTGTGGTTAAATTTGAAAGTTGAAGAACCACGGGTGGTTAAATTGAAAGTTTAGGACTAGACATGGTGGTGCCATTATACTCGGAGGACCCTAGTTGGTATTAACTATATAATTAATGAACATAGAGAAAAAAAAAAACATAATGATTCACAAAAAAAAAAAAAAAAAAAAAAAACAATGATAGAAAAGTACATGAGTTAATACCATCTAGGGTCCTCAGAGTATAGTGGTTTTGCCACGTTTAGTCCTAAACTTTCAAATTACTTTGTCAAAACTAAAAAGAATCCACAATCCCCAGCCAAACAACATTTCTGATTCCTTTCCATTAGGCTGGCAGAGTGGCAGCTTCAATGGATCTTCATCTCCACCACCACCTAATCCAAAGCACAATAATCCTCAAGCTAATTGCTAGTTTTCTCTCTATCTTACCTAATGGATGTCCCAAGACCTCTCCAAATTCAATCTCTACCGGCCCTTATCTAAGTTCATAGCTATACTTGTCCAATCATCCCTCCATTCAGCTCTAACCCCAAGATTCTTATTATGCAAATGCTCTACATAAGTAAAAAATTGATGATAGAACTCACTTTGCCTGAACCAAGGACGAAACAAAATGGAACTGGTTCACCAGTTTCGTCTTTGTGATCGTAAGTAGAGTCAAAACGCCATCCTTGTTTTGCAGCAAGTCTCCCATAGTAATGAATTGCAACCTAAAAAAAAGAGCAAGAATGCACGATTCACCACTTAATTTAACAATGTTAAGAAATAATCTCTGTAGCCTGAGGACCCCTGACATTAGGGTAGGGGGTCTATCCCAATTGGGAGCAAGATAACTCAGTGGCTCAGCACACAAGGCCAAATGACAGTGTGCACAAGGGAGTGGGCATAATCCCCACACTGCCATTACCGAGTTTCGAACTCTCTTCCCCCAAATATTGCCTACTGAATCGATGAACTAACAAGCCATATTTATTTAGGTGTGTTGTCATTGTTTATTTTGTAGGTCAGTCTAGCAATTCTATTTGTTTTTTAACACATTTGAAAGCCAAGAATGCTACACTACCAAAACTACAATAGAGTCTCACTCTCCATGTCTCCCCCAGGTGTTTATTTAGAAGTATTTGTTGGGTAATAATTTTAATTGAGTGTTATTCCTCATCTCCTCTTGAACAAAAGAAAAAGAAAGAAAAGAAAAGAAATAACCTTGCTAAAACTTAAGGGAAAATAATCAATAAATTAAAAGCAATTAACTTAAACTACATAATGCTGAATCTACAGAGATTACACTGCGGTTAGAGAGACCTCATCGCCATCAAAGGGAACTTCCCCGTCGCCAATGCGGAGATCTAAGGCCTTAACGCCGCCGGAATTCGGGAGCTCTGCGAACCGCTGCGGCTCGGGTTTGGCCAAGGAGTTGGGAATCTGGGGGTTTGAGAATAGTAGAGCAGAGAAAGATATGGTGATTGCGGAAAGAGAGAAGTCTCTTCTTGATTTCGTTGTGCATAAAGAAGAAGAGGAAGGTATTGCTGGGACTGGGATTGGTATAAGAACAGAAGTGTGGGGAGTAGAATCAGCGGATATTGGTAAGGCCCATTTCATCATCGTCATCTTCGCCATTGTCTTTCTCTATACAATTTCCATAGAAATTAAGATAGGGTATAGACTCAAGTGTTTCAAGGAGGGGTGAGCATGTAGTGACTAGTGAGTGCTGGCAAAAGCAATTTAAAATGACGTCTTTTCGAATTTTAAAAAATTCTATTTTAGTTAATGGATTAAGATAATGCGTTAGAATAAAAAACCGCATTTGGTTGGGGAGGGGGAATTACGTAGGAAAGGATTTACAATTTTATGGGAAATAAATTACTGGGAATAAAGTGGAAATTTAAATTTCAATGTTTGGTTGACAGGAATAGAATTATTGGGAATTTCAATTTCAATGTTTGGTATACATGGGAATTAAAAGGTGAATAAGTAGTATAAAGTCCAAAATGTCCATTGTTGTTGTCAAGCATTAATTTTAGGTTAAAAAAGGGATGGGTAATTTTGACTCATCACTATCTTTTTTTTCTTCCTAAAATTCCAGGAATTAAAATACCGAGGAGGGTGGGGGGGGGGGGGGTGGTGGGGGACATGGGATTTTAATTCCATGGAAATGGAGAAATTGCAATTCCATGGAATTGCAATTCCTTTCAACCAAACAAGGGAATTTTGTGGCCTTTGAAATTAGGTAGGAATTAAGTGGGAAGAGAATTTAAAATCCCTTCAACCAAACGCTCTGTTAGGGTAATATAATGTGTTTTATGAATTTGAATAATGTATATGTGTTAGAATAATGAAACTTTTGAGATAAGATAATGTATGTTATGAATTAGAATAATGTATTTTATGTTTTAATATATTTTATGAGTTAGAATAATGTACTTTATGCTAGAATAATGAACATTATGGTAAAATAATGTATTTTAGGGTTAATCAACGATTTGGTCCCTCAATTGTTAGCGAAATATCGATATAGTCCCTTAATCACGTAATCATCGATTTAGTCCCTGAAAATAACTGTTTTTAGTTGATTTAGCCCCTTCGGCCGTAGGCCGTCAACAATGTCATGATAGCTCCGATTTGTCATGGGTAATTTAGTCATTTCGTTTCTTTAGTCTTCTTCCACCGAGAAATCTCTATGGTATCCCATTCTAGTCTTCTCCTTCACTTCCTTGATGATCTCTTCGGTCCAATGGCAGTGCCCTGAATCCAGCTCTCTGCGTCCTCATCTGCCACTGCTTGAACGTCTCCGGCCGCTCAACTCTCTCTCCCTTCGCACGCGATCACGTTCATAACGTCTCGTCCCAGCAGTTCCTGCTCCGCCAGCAATCGCCCTTCGTTTTCTCGCGGCATCGTGGCTTCGAACAGCGGCAAGAAGTGGAAGTAGGCTTCCCGGAATCGCGTTGTGAAGAACGGGGCGTTGTACATCCCATTGACGATCCCGTGCATGAAGAATTGGGGATTTATTTTCTTGATTAGCTTGAGAACGTCGTCTCTAGGGTTGTTGTTCTCCATTAATGTCTCGTCCGGCACGTTCTTCATCCTATATAAGCAGTTCGCGTCTAGGGTTTCGTCTTCCTCGATCTTCAAATCTTCTGGGGTGATTTCTTCCCATTTCTTGGCTATGGCGGTGTACTGGAAGGGGACGTTGAATCTCCTGGCGAAATTCTCCAGCCGCCACCCTGTTTCCTCTCTTCTCTCTGCCGGGCGGAACCCCGGCTGGAGAAAGTCGATCCTGGTGTTGCGGAGCTTCGACGGCAAATCTATCCTCCTTTTTTTTTTTTTTTTTTTTTTTTTCTATTTCTTGATTTGCTCCGTGCATTAAAAAAGTTGATGTTGTTGTCACTAGAGTGAAGAGGAAAAATGCTTGACATTATGCCTTCCAGTGATTTAACACCTTCTCCTTAAAATTCTGGACATATCTCGTCCTCCTTCCCCCTTTTTAACATCATCATGAGAATGAGCCAACTGCGTTGGAAGGGCTATCATTCTTTATACTTCGCAAGGTGTTGGGTCTGTTGTATGCATACTTCAGTAGATACCCTTTTTCTGACACCCTCCGTACATCATTAGGTAATATCTCACTAACGATGCACATAGGGTAGTGCATCAGGTGTGGTGTTAGAAAGTGGGGCTTGCATTTCGTGATCCTTCCTACTTATAACTTCAGTCACAAAGATGATCAGCTACTGGAAATCATTGTACTTCACAGATTATGGCTCCAGCAGCTTCACCATTTGAACAGATGAGCTCCTCACCACTATGTTGGCTGGTAGAACACTCATGCAGGGGCTTTATGAGGAAGGTTCATACTTTCTACCCCTCCATTTGCTTTACGCTACCTATAACATAGCATAATTTTGATGTTAGGGTGTGTTTGGAAACCTGGAAAATGAGTTCTGGAAATCATTTTCCAAGTTTTCAGTGTTTGGATGTGCCTGGAAAATCAAGTCAACGGAAATCATTTTCCGTTGACTTTGGAAAATAGACTTGTTTTGGAGGAAAATGACTTCCCCTTTTTTTGCGGGGAAGTCATTTTCCAACTTTTACACCAACATCACACCACCACCAACATCATCAACACCATACCACCATCACCACCACTATTGCCGCCGCCACCACCACTATACCCCCGCCACCATCACACCACCACCACAACCACCACCAACACCGCAACCACTACCACCACCACCACCACCACTACCACCACCATCGCCGCCGCCACCACCACCACATACCACCGCCACCACACCACCACCTTCACACCACCGCCGCCGCCACCACCACCACCGCAACCACTGTCGCCGCCACCACTACCACCATACCACCGCCGCCCCCATCACCATCATACCACCGCAACCACCATCGCCGCCACCACCACTACTACCACCATACCACTACAACCACCGTCGCCGCTACCACCGCCACCACCACCATACCACCACAACCACCATCGCCGCCATCACCACCATACCACCGCCACCACCACCACACCACCTCCACCACACCACCACCTTCACACCACCGCCGCCGCCGCCACCACCACCATACCACCGCAACCACCGTCGCCGCCACCACTACCACCATACCACCGCCGCCGCCACCGCCACCATACCACCGCAACCACCGTCGCCGCCACCACCACCATACCACCGCAACCACCGTCGCCGCCACCACCACCACCATACCACTGCAACCACCGTCGCCGCTACCACCGCCACCACCACCATACCAGCACAACCACCATCGCCGCCACCACTACCACCATACCACCGCCACTGCCATCACCACCATACCACCGCCACCGCCACCACACCACCGCCATCACACCGCCGCCATCACACCGCCGCCAATTATTATTATTATTATTATTATTATTATTATTATTATTATTATTATTATTATTATTATATAACGAATAACACCACTACCACTACACCACCACCATAATATTTTTGATATATTATTAATTTTTTTTTTTGAAAAACTTAGCTATTTTTTATTATATTTAAAATTAATATTATATTATTATATATTATTATACATGTTGTAATATTCTAAATAAAATAATTAAAATGTTTAGTTATACAATTCTACTCATTTTCCAGAAAATGAACTAAACACAGAAAAACAGTTTTCCATAATGCAACCAAACACTGGAAAGAAAAATATTTTCCGGAAAATGACTCATTTTCCAAAAAACATTTTCCAGAAGTCATTTTCCTGCTTTCCAAACGGACCCTTAGAAAACTTAGCACCTCCTTTCGAAAGATCTCCTTCTTTCTTCTATCAAAGAGGTGATACCATTTAGTAAAATAATTTTGGAGAGTTGAATCAAAAATTCGAAATTCTGAAAATTCTCGCGTGGACACTTGTATGACCATACGAGGCTAGTACATGAGAAGACTAAAAGAAGTAGGATCCAAGTATGACCATACGAGCCTAGTATAGGAGAATCCCAAAAGAAATACTACCCACGTACGCCCATACTTCCCTAGTACGGCGTTACCCCGAGAAATTTTATGAAACAAGCCTACATACGAGCTCCATATGCCCATACGAGCAGGGACGGAACCAAAGGGTGGGCATGGGGGCAGTTGCCCCCCCTCACCCCACCCCCACCCCCACCCCCACCCATATATAATTTTTGTATGTATATATGTATATATAGTACATGTGTTAGTATTAGTAAAATAAAACTATTTAATATTAACAAGAGTTAATTTAGATGAGTTGGTTGAGTACATGTTGAGTTATTTTAAAGGATAGGGGTTTGAATCTTAACATTAACATAACTTTATAGTTAGCTTCAACAGTTTTTTTTTGACTCCTTTCCCTATGGTTTTAAAAGTTGGCTTCAATAGTTTGTTTTTTTTTTTTTTTTTTTTTTTGACTCATTCCCTATGGTTTCAACACAATCACGTTTCTAATAGCTTTTTAATTCTTTTTATATTAATAATGAGATGTGTTTATTTTTTTTAAAATTATCTCTTTTGTTTTAATGTTTCGCCTTTATTGAAAAAAATATTCTGAATCCGTCCCTACTTTTTCGCCCCCCTCAACCGAATTTCTGGCTCCGTCCCTACATACGAGCATCATACTGAGACCAGAAAATACTGAGTGTCACATGTAATTCCTTCCCCCTCTACTCTCTTTTAAACCGTCATATGCAATTTGGAGATGGTGGCCACTGTTACCCAATCCTCCATTTCTTTTTGTTTGGTTTTGAACTTCTTATTCAACCTATTTATGGGAAGTTCCATCTTAATAACACATGGCATTTTATGAAATATTTATCCCCAAAGCTATGAAATTCCAAATCCTGTATAATGTTTAGAATATACTGAAGAATGTTACATTGCTAGCTGAAATTGCCAATCCAATTTACATTACTTTGTCTAATTTCAAATATTAAGATGCCTTATCATTCCATGTTCTGTTATATTAGTAATGAAACAAATACAAATTTAGAAGGAATAGATGAAGCAAGAGCAAAAAGATAATCTAAACCTGACTCACCATATGTGAAATCTTTACCTCCAAACCTAACTTGTGTATAACGAATGATAGAGTAGATAAGAAAAGTGCATAGTCAAACGTAAAGGGTGGCAAGTTAACACAATACATACATCAAACAAGCAAAT